AAGTAACCTAGTTTTTATCATCATCTCCTGGTGACATTCTGTTCCAGAACTTCAAACAATAATATATTTTGTAAAATGATGAACGAAAAGCAACAACCTAGATGCAAAGTGGAAGTGCTGTGCTCTCTCCCAGCTGTATTTATGCTACTTAATGTCAGGAAGAACGTCTCTGTGGAAAACACAGAAAGCTAAAGGTTTTCTTCTAAAAACCTAAACCTCACAAATAATCCTGAGAAAGAAATAGCTATCATCTAGTTATGTGTTTAGAAATATGCTAATTAATCATGCTTATCAGATTATTATACTTATTCTCTTGGCAGCTGAAGCATGAACAAGGCAGAATTCATCACTGTTGTGGGATGTGCAGTATTGTTGCTGCTCCACGTGACTCAAACTGAAGCCTGTCCTCCCTCCTGCAGCTGCAGGTCTCTGGGAGAAGCAGAGGATCTGCGCGTAGACTGCAGCTCCAGGAAGCTGGTGGAGGTGCCTGCCTTGCCCATTCACACCAAGAGGCTTTATCTGCAGAACAACAGCCTCACCTCGGTTCCTCCAGGTGCCCTGGACAGCCTGCACAGCCTTCAGGAAGTGAAAATGTCTGATAATCCCTGGAACTGTGACTGTCACATTCTGTATCTAAAACTCTGGTTAGAAGATGTCTCTGCACCCTCTCTTGCAAACATCAGATGCTCAAGCCCAGCTCATCTCAGGATGAAACCCCTAGGGCAGCTCACTGGGAACGAGCTGGGGATGTGTAAGAGGCTTCTCCCAATCAAGTGTCTTCAGTTCTTTTGGAGAGACCTCATTTTAATTGCTGGAGTGATAATTACACTTATTTTAGTAGCTTGGGCTCTGAAATTCTCAAAAAAGCTGGTCTGCCAAATGCACCTAAGCCAATACGACTCTAGGGGGTGGCTGTTCAGGAGACATCTCTCCAAAAACCACAAGATACGATAAACTGGTCACTGCCACCAGCTTCAACTGAAACATCAAGCTCTTCTATCACAAAGAAGCACGTGCACTGGCAATACCAGTTTGGATAGTGAACATGCTACAAACAGATCCCAGGGCTCAAGCTCTGGGCCCTCAGGCAAGTTTGGTTTAATCTCCTCTCAGCAATAAGCTTAGTGATGGACTAACAGGCAAGTTTCATTCTCCTGCTGTCCACTCACATGAAAAGCAGTTTTAAATTAAAAAAATATTAAAAATACTCATTTAACTTAGCATTTTTCCAGTGAATTCTCACTCAATTCTTTGCTAGCAAGAAGATTTACATCCTCAAAACCTCATGTTTAATATAAGGAGAGGAACACAAATTGTACCATTTAGCAATTCTCTTCTCACTCAGAAGCTGGGTGAGTTTGCAGCCCTATTACTCCCTCCCAGTGTCCTGATGGGCCTGGTAAGACCATTCTTGTGCATAAATAAATTCAAGCATCTCATTCTGTGATTCTGTGATCTCTTCCTCAGGCTCAGGAGTTTCCTGCCAGCAAAATCACAATGATTGTATGTTATCCACATGTATCCTGTATTAAATATGTTTAAAAACAGACAATTAATGAGAATATCATCAGTAAAAATAATGTTAATATTGTGGAAGTTCTTGGAGAGTGAACAATAAAAAAGCATTCTATGTGAAATGGAATGAATGGATGTTTATGGGACATTCAGACTCACCCAAGTTCGATCTCTTTCACAATTCTGCACATTTCTGATTAAAATCCTTAGAAACTTCCAGAGACTGACTTGCAGTTTTATTACTGACATTTGATACACAGGATTTTATGCAACAGCCTTGAAGAGGATGTACTCTCTTCCCTTCTCCTCTTGTGCCCCCATCCTCATAGAAAAACTGTTGTGGTGACTCAAGCATATTGTCTCCTCCCTAACCTGGTTATCCACAGGACTCCAAGAACAGCAATTCATGCTGTGACCCCATCCTGTCTGGTGAGATCAGGCTGGTTAGATGGAAGATCTCTGAATGTCTTCTAAAATTAACACTACTGTTGGCAGTTCAACTGAAGACATGTTTTGCAAATTCTCCTCCTAACCCCAAACCTGAGCTAGGTACCAATCAAAGTCAGTAGAAGCTCACAGGGACATTTCCCGGTCCCTCTTGCCCCTGCCAAAGCACTCCAGCAGTATGGAGTCAAACTGTCAACACTGGCTGCTGGCACCATTCTCAGACAGTGTTGGAAAAGATGTGTTCCTGTCTGTATCTCCACTGTTGGTCCTCTCTCCTGCACCAGCAGGGAAAGGCCAATCTGAGACATGACCACTTGCCAATCTAAACCTACACCAATTCAGGATGAGTCACTTGCCACTCTTGGTGACACAAGGAGGGTGGAACTGCTGAAAGAACCTCTGAGGCACAGCCAGATTTGGGGAAAGGACATACACCATGGGCAGGGGGTTACATGGATTAGTAACAAAGTGTGGCATGGGCCTTCAGATTGAGAAAGGAAAGGAACAGAATCAGAAGTCTTCCCTGTAAAATAATTAATGACCTGGGAGACATCATGCCCATCGCAACTTACAGCCTGCAAATGATACACAGAGTGGAACAAGTAGAGGGGAATCATAAATGCACAGAATGGGGGGTAACTTGGAGTATCAAGGAATTGAAAGCAAGATCATACATCTAAAAAGAAAAGACGCGTTGAGGACACAGTTCAGAGAAGGCAAATAAACCAGTGATAATGATCTCCCATGCACAGCACTGCAGCACATGGCTAATGTGATCTTACTTGTCAAAACAGGGAGTATAATTTAGGAATAGAAAGATCTATTTACTTCCACATTTAGATAATTTAGTAACAATGTCTAGCAGTCAAGAAGAATCAGCTGCAGAAGAATCAGAAAAACAACTTTAATGCAAATTGAAGACGAGAAAATACATCTTAAAAGGAGTGTAATCAATTTCATTTAATAAAGAGGAATTTGAGGAATTACAAGATCATAGCTTGTAAGAATCTGCATAAAGATAAATTAATACCACCAGTACTCAAAGTGGAGCACCCAATGTGCTTTTTGCAAGGTGTTGCATCCCTGCTGCAGGAGGTGAACCATATAACCTAGAAACAGCACAGCTTGGTGAGGCTGTATCACACTCTGCTGCAGATCAAAGGAAAATTGTCTTCAGATTTAAGTCTACACTTCAGTTTGGTAAGCACAAACATTCAGAATTTCTCAGGCTTTATTAAATGTTATTCAACATAAAAAACCTCTGCAGGAGTGTATTTCAAAAAGCACAGAGGAACATGGTGGTATATGCCCTTAGATAATTTTAGAATATTTTCTCTGCACTGAGCTTTTCAATTTTTTAAAAGGTAACCATCATTTTAGATTAATGCACTTTGGAGTCTCTCATGGAAAGTTTCCTAAATGATATTTCTTGTTTCCCCAAAATAAAATAAAACATTAACATTACAAGCTTTTCACTCTCTTTTGTGCCTATAAAGCTAGGTATGCATTTTCAATCCTGCCACAAAAACCAGGCCATGCAGCCCAATGAATTGGAATAGTTTTAGACCATGGCCTATACCGAACCAACATTCACCATGCAGTTGAAGTGGATGAAATTTTAACTTAACTGGAGCACAGTAATCTTGAAAGTTTGCCGGTGTAGATAAAATAGTAAACTGCTTTACTGTATGGCTTCAATTTTACAAACATGAACAAATGAGCAGTTATCCGTATACCAGTGAACACACTAAATAAGATGAAGAAAATACAGAAATAAAAGCATTTGAGAGAACATGTTTTCTGACCTCCTAAGAGGAAAGAAGAGGGAATCTCTTCCATCACAGTATTTCACATTCCACTGGAAAACCACTGTATTTATCACTTCTGAAGCAGCTGGCTTTTATCTGAAAAAAACTTTGAAAAGGAGAAAGCTGGAACTGCTAATTAAAGGCTCAAGAGCAACATTCAACTGTTTATCTGGCAAGGCCACTATGTTGTGCCAAAGCCACGTCCTCCACTAAACTGCACAAATAATGCTGCAGTTGCTGACCACGTGCAGAGCCAGGGCAGCGTGTCAGCTATCTCCATGCAGCCAGCTCCCAAAGGAGTTTGTCCAGGAAGTGTCACTGCATCATGCCTCCAAGGGGGCAAACTAGTGAATATATCTGTTTGCACTTTCTTTGGTAACACAGGTGTACCTGCTGGGATTAATTGCAACTAAAAAATTATGAGGTTTGGTTCAAGATTTAGCAAGAGAAGAAATCATACTCAGAATTATTAAGCAGGAAGAAAAAAAACCTCTTGTTCAACATTTCACTGTAACACACAGAGCAGTTTTGTGCAAATTGCAATTTGGTGTAAGCTGCAATTAAATTACTGTGGAAATGGCTTTATGCATTAGTGGAGTCCAACTGCATTATTATGACACAGTTATTGAGAATCAGAAGTTGGCTTTGCATCACTGATGCCATTCCTCTTAACACAGCCACTCTGGATCTGTCTTCTAAACTTAGCTACAAATACTGTGTTTTTCACCACGGGAAGTACTTAAGAATTAAAGAATTTTTGCTAATTTACAAGTCTGCAAGCAACAAGGAAAAAAACTGAAAGAGTATGAGTGTCTTCTTGCAAAAGAGAAGAGCAAGTGCGTATCTGTGATATAAGCTATTTTAGAAGTGATGGTATTTATAGTAAAATTACATATTTACAGTAAAAAATAACACTACGTGCTGTGGATTCACTGAATTTGCTTTCCTTCCCCCCATGTTCTAAACATGTTGGCATTTTGGGAATAGACATTTCTCACTGCAGATGAAGGTTAAATGAATGGTATGTCAGTGTACTCAACACCTTCCTTTTCTGCACAAAGCAAGGAAGAAGCAATCTGAGAATAGTTTTCTTTCACCCTAAAAGCTGTCAGTCTTTGAGTGTCAGTCCAGTCCTTCCCAGGAGCCCTGGGCAGCTCCATGAGGTGGACACATGGCATTTTACTTTTCTTAGGGTCTTCTCTTCTTAGAAGTAGTTCCGATCTCCATGGTCTCACACTCAAACCCAACCTGAGAGGATTTTGACTGTAAACCTTGCCTATCCTAAGGCTTGTTTGGCAACTTACATAAAATTAGTTCATACTAAATTAATATTAAAGACTAAGTGCAGCTTTGTTCTTAGTGATAAAATACAGTGTAAAGTAAAGAGGTTTGTACTGTATTTACCATTTTGCCAAGCAGCTGTACATAAAAGGATTCAGATTCAATGTCCAGGCCTTAGCCCCAATTCAAAGTACTTAAGCACGCAGAAAATTAGTAATACAATGTAAAATATTTTTTTCTGTTCAGTTAAACCCCAGCTATTTAATGAGATACATGTCACATTATGACAGTAATTTTCCACCTTAGTTGCACAGCTGCTTGCACTGACCACATGTGAAACTGCATTGATAGCTGCTAGAATAACTCATCCAACAGGAAGCTTCAAACAGCAGAAGACCACAAATATTCATGGCCTCACAACAACAGCAAGAAATAGGAACTCCCTCAGGTGAACTGCAAATTCCTTCTGTTATTGAACTAGTAAACATATACTGTAAGAACTAGATACTAAGTGAACATACAAAATATACATAAAGTGGCAGTGAGATGAGCTTGTTAACTGATCTAAGCTACTACACTTAAACTCTTTAAGGTAAAGTAATTAGCATTACATTCTCATACTGGTTTAATGTGTAAATTCACTGTGTGGTGAATGATTAAAATGGAACTTGAAGCTTCACAAAAGTGCTGTTTTTCTTGGACTTTTAAGGTCCACACACTTGTATGCTATGATTTACAGCTGAATTACAAACTTCTACTTTTGCTTGCCAGCAGGTGGAAAGACTACACTGAAGAATTAACAATTCCTGTTTAATGATTCCTTTGATGGAGCTGAGTTTATGGTAATGCATAGTAGTGCTAGGTTTATCTTAATGCTTTTTCTCTTCAGAGCACTACACAAAA